AGACGCCCTAGGGTTTTCCATAGATTTTGACCAAGCTCAGGAGGGATTAAGCATTGTGTTGTTTTCTTTCATCTTCACGGATCTGCCGTCTTCTTTTGGAGAGCTCAGCTATGACGTTGTTGTCACCAATACTGCCAACCCGTCCCTGATCTCTGCCACACCACGTTTTCGCGCTACCAATGGAGGAGTATTTGATCTGTTCCTTACTGGTGAGGTGAGTAAATGCTCGTGTAGAGAGCTAGCAAAATGGACGACAAAACACTACCATGAATAAAACAGTGTAACATACACGCTCCCTTTGACATAGTAATTATGTCCCCACCGAGATTAGAAAATGTTGACTAAACACAAATACTTGTACAAAATGATCGTCCGCATTAATCAGCTCGTGTAGCACCCACTTCATCGCTGGTTCGTAATCCGAAGCCAATTTTGCTTCGATGATCTTCAGTGTGTCGACATTGTTGGTGCATAGAATGAACATAGCATATTTGATATATAATGCTGAGAATACACTAGCATGCCTGCACAATTCGATTGCACCTCATGTTTTTTATGGGGGATTGCATACCGTAGTCAGTGAAGGGAGCGAAATGTGAAAAGAGGATGTAAAGATTACACAAAGGCACACAATGAAAACCTTGGCAAATTTATTCCGTTGTGACTCAGAGTTTCATGGCTGAACCAATCATCAGACAATGATAATGGAATAGGAGGCAGCGCTGGTATATCTAAGTGGAGAGAGAGGTGTGATAATACGATAGCGAGAGGAGTAATCGCGTGAATGTATACAGGGACGGGCTATTTCAGAGGCAGATGCAGTAGGCGCAGGTCTAGCACTAACAAGTACGCGCTTAATCTCGCTCACACCACACACACACACATACTAACACGCACACACATACTAACACCCACACACACATACACACATACACGCACACACTAGCACACACATACACCCACCCACAACACCCTAACTTGCACACGGGCGCACGCACACACAGGACACCCACCCACCCACAACACCCTAACTCGCACACGCACAAACACACGCACACACGCATATACACACCTATAGACACATGTCCACACGTATACACAGGCATCTGCGTTCGTATGACAAATCTAAGCGCACACAAACTCCTGCAATCACGCGTCAAAAAACTCGCAGCGGTCATAGCTGTCTATGTATGTGTGCGTGCGCCCGTGTGCAACTTAGGGTGTTGTGGGTGGGTGTATGTGTGTGTTAGTGTGTGCGTGTATGTGTGTATGTGTGTGTGGGTGTTAGTATGTGTGTGCGTGTTAGTATGTGTGTGTGTGGTGTGTGAGCGAGATTAAGCGCGTCCTTGTTAGTGCTAGACCTGCGCCTACTGCATCTGCCTCTGAAATAGCCCGTCCCTGTATACATTCACGCGATTACTCCTCTCGCTATCGTATTATCACACCTCTCTCCACTTAGATATACCAGCGCTGCCTCCTATTCCATTATCGTTGTCTGATGATTGGTTCAGCCATGAAACTCTGAGTCACAACGGAATAAATTTGCCAAGGTTTTCATTCTGTGCCTTTGTGTACGCCGCTCTGCCTGAATCAGGCATTGAGCACTCTTGCAGAACCAAAGCATATTGCCTCTGTGATGTAAAGATTAGGAAACCCTAAGTGGAAGGAATGGCACAGTTTAGTTCTTCCATTCGGCATCATGTCTTCCAGTCAGGTAACACTGCGGATATACACGATTCTTTTCGCACCACCTCAGACGAATCATTTAGCGCCCCTTCCGCTGTCAAGTTGCAGGTTAGCTCTGATCCATTCTGCGCCCCGGTACGATGAGCGCTAGGGGGACAGCGAATTTCTTCGCACAAGCTTATGTTTAGCTTCTAAGGAAACGCTCTTGTTCAGTTTCAATGCGTTATCTCATGACGTGCTGTCAACAGTGGGGGAGGTAATGACAAAACGCTAGTTCTTATAGCAACTTGTTTTCGAAGGATCTTGCGTCGATCTCCTATCGGTGTTCCAGCTTGCCTCAAATCTCTTGGCTAATCTTGTCACAAAATGACACTTTTCTAGCTGCAATTACCGCAAGAAAGGAAATGTGACGTTTGCATGCACTCAACATTTCCTGTACGTGTGCCTTCACCAATGTTCCCTTGATGTTCCAGAAATCTCTTCAGCGTTAGAGCAATGTTAATCATTTCACCCAGGCAATCTAAGCTGCAGTAGAATTGCCGGTCTTGTTGGTGTTCACGGTGGGGTGATTTCACAGAGCTGGGTAAACGCTCGCCATCATGCCCTATTAACTCCATACCAATGCGAACAAGCGTTGGATTAGTGGTTATTGCATGCATACTGCCTTTTTGTGTCGGAAAGCAATATTAATATAAATATAATTAAGTAATCATGGCCAATTTTGGACTTGCCCCTATCCTCCTTATACTATTATATTTTTTACACTCTGAGGTTGAGGGCTAAGTTTCCTAGTGCATTGAGAGCTCGACTGAAAAAGCAAGGTGCAGGAATAATAATTATACTAACAGCTCACGCAACAACAAATGAGAGTCCTCCGGCTCGGTAGAGTGATCAATATTCGTTCGAATTAGAGCTATATTGCACACGACGCAGAGCACCACGGATCATCCGTTGCAACGAATGTTCCTTGGTGGTCTGTGTCGTGTGCGACCAGTTTGTCTGTGAATAATTATGGTACCATGCTTTCTCACCCAAATTTGGCAAACTGCAAAATAATATCTTTCACACTACTTAACCAACTGACATGAAAATGTCTTCACTAGAGTCGTATCTCTCCCTAGATGATCTGCTTCAAAGTATATTGGAGATCTTTGATAAGGAACTAAAAGATGTCAGACATGGTTTAGAACAGACCCTCTCTCTGCCATTCACTCGGCAACAATGTCTAGTTGGATGATGTTGTTGAATAACTGGGAGGGAGCGGTTCTTATCTAAACCATTTCCAAATGCTTATACGGAGAATAATGGCATATTATGGAAATTCAGATTAATCATTAGCTGAGGTGTTGAAAACCTTTAAGAATCTTTGTTTTCTAAAAAAAATGATGGCCATACTTACGTACTCTACGTACCCTGTAAGTTGACTGTTAGGAGTGATGGAGTTTCTATCGATTCTGGCACATAGCAATAAGGCTCCTTTGTTTTATCATCTTCTGCGTCTTCTGCGTGAACAGGTGTTCCTTATCTCAACCCTTGGTGTGCGGAGGAGAGGCTCCAACGGATCCAACGTTACCTGCAGATTTACCAACATTGCCGCCTGCTCAAGCCGCTGACCTTGATGCTGCCATGGCGTCAGTGCGAGGTGCTCTTTGCCCGACGTAGCGGCAATTGGAACCAGTCAGGAATTGAATTGAACGCAGTTATTGACGTGATGGGTGCCAACATTGAACTTTGCTAGGCTCGCACTCATCGATACAGGCTCCTATTGATCCCCTCGTTCTCCCTCGTATGTAACACAATAACGGAGAGTATTTTTCTCCTCATGCCCAAGCCTCTTGTACGGGAAAAATACACACAAGAGCCACCTTAACAACGGATTTTGAGCTGCAAGGGCTGTGAGCGCAGACTGATACCTAGATAACGGATATTGAGCTAAAAGGGCTGTGAACACAGACTGATACCTAGATAACGGAGATAACGGAGAGTATTCAGTCCTACAAACCTGTAACTACATTGTTTTTCCCCTTCTGCTTCATAGGCATTTCAGCCATAAATTTACTTAGTTGCAACGCGAACGGAACCTAAGACCGCACACGTATCAATGTGTGCAATGCGCATGCACCCACATACACTTGTGGTTGTTCCATGTTATTGGGAATAGTGTTATGATTATACCTAATGGGTGCTACAATTACTAGCAGTCGTTCATTGCCAATATTGAGTTGAACCTGCATCTACATTGTACATGTACTACAAACATGAAACTGCCCCCCCCCCTCCCCCTCCCCCCAGAATATAATAATTAATATCCTCCTCAAGCTCTTTGCCTGTTGCTTTATGAGAAATACTAGGAGTGAAATATTGCAAGAGTTGTGATGCAAAGCTGGTCTGAACTGCGCTCAGGGTCAGTAGGCCTCGGCCTGGATCATGAATAACGTTGTGCATGGATCATGCCGATATCCAGATCAAGGGCTAAAAAGCCCAGGAACCATGGCCTCATCTAGTCTCCATGTATACTATAACAATCTGGGGGACCATTCAATGCTTTTGGCACAAAAAATTGGAGTAATACCACAAGGAATGTATAGAATGATCACCTTACCTGAAAAATAACAATTCCAAGAATGGTGGAAAATCGGCCAATTTTCTGTCCTATTTTTATTTGTGGAGGTCTAAAATGCACGGTAACCCACCTAAAATTATATATTTCTAGTTTCTATGAAGTATGAGGATCCCAAAAATAAAATAAAAGGGGCATGTCCATGAAGAAAATATGAAGCTGTGCACCCAATTGTACTTCGCGGACGGGCATTTCTGCGAAGTTCATTTTTGTACCAAAATTACTATTTTTCTGAGTAGTCAATGCTGATTGCCAGATTTTCTTGCTCAAATGCTTCACTGTGATGTGTGAAAGGACTTGCAATCACAAAGAGAAGCCAGACAACTGGTAAATCTGAAATATGACCCCAAAACAAGCAAATTTAGGCCGAAATCGATAAATACACCCACCCCTAGAAATACACCTCAAACAGCCTTATCTCCGCGGAAACACACCCTGAATTTGTTTGTGGAGTAACATGGGATGATATAAAGCACACTCATCCACAAAAAGGAGAGGGTTTATGAAGAAAAAAATCACATCTACTAGCCTGGTCGCAGTAGCTTCAGGAGGCTCCAACCCTTTGGGGGTGATTTTTTTCTTCATAAACCCTCTCCTATCTTCCGCTTCCAAGCAGGACTTGAACCCTGGTACCTCTCGCTTCTCAATCATGGTCTTAGACCAACCCACTGTGCCTGCCTATTGGGAAAACATCCAAAATAAGTCCAATTCTCATTCGCAAGGAATAAAATCTCAATGTGAGAACTGGTGGAATACGGGAGGAATACAGGATTTTTAATGGGAAAAGAAGATGACAAATTTTATAATACATATCAAGCGTTTTCAAAGTTCTGCGATGTCTTTGAAGATACAATGTAACTAGAATCCAACCTTACCATAATTATAGGCTCCAATTTAAAATAATGTGATCCTTCCAAGGACGAAACAGTAACTATAATATTGATCCAGTTAAGATTTTCACAGAACTTTTGCAATTCTCGGTCGGATAACGTGGTAGTATCTCAAGACTATCTTCATAACGTCATTTCATTAACTCAAATAAGATCTACCTATGCTAGATAGAGTACTATTGTCATGTACAACAAGAGTGCAAAATACGGCTTGCTAGTCGTGGACGACGATGTTCCTGAACTCCAGTAGACCTCCACGGCCACTGGTGTAGCTGTGTTAGCGCGCTCCGACTTGCGTATGGGAATGGCGTTGAGTGGCGTTGACGGAGGGCTTTTGCGGGTCGAGGTCTTTACGATCTTGTTCAATCGATCCGTGAACATGCTAGCCCTGTTCACAGAAAGCAAGTTGAGAGACAAATTGAGAGAAAATATTCTAAACAATCATCATTTGGGCCTCCGGGGAGAAATTTAAACTCACAAAATTAATGTGGTGTGAAAAGATCACACAGGAGTATCGTTGTGAGGGGATTGTGCCGTCTCTACTTATTTCTTGCGACAGTACAGTGGAGCTACCATTACGACGTTGTACATTTAACATTACATGTATCCCATTTCCCCCTCTGACAAATCTATATACGGTATCTGCGGTGTCAGTGATCTTGAGTTGACTTATGTATGAGTCTTACTTACCAGTCATTCTCTACTGCCACGAACGTTGGTTTCCAGGGACCTTTCTTTCCTGAAGGACTCTGTGCGGATTGAGTGGCATGACTTGAGCCTTGAATCCGAGGTGGAGCTTGGAGGTCATTCATCGTAGCCTCCAGTTTTGGTCTTCTATAAAGGGTTGCAGAGATACAGTAACACGTTTTAGTGTTGAACATTTAAAGCAAGCATGTCAAGATATTCGGCTTAGATTCATCGACATCAGCAGAGATCGTCACTGCATTATTAATCTAGAGTGTACTCACACGATCATGTTTTCCTCCATCAAAAACTTACTGGTTGATAGCTTCCGTCCGCGCCATAGGCTCCACGCTGTGCCCCATCGCCTTTAGGTTGGTCAGCACAGTGCTGTTGCCAACTAAATGTGCTGCACAATGTAACAGAGCAGAACAAACGTAACATTAAAAAGTTACCCAGACGGCCAGCGTATACCTACTGCCTCCAAGCATCATTTTATCTCATTTAGAAGTGATAAGCAGCATGTTCATTCAAATCGTTAGGAACCCATTGTGTTCGAAGTCTGAAGAAGATATCGAACAGTCGCTGCTTGGACGACGACTACACCATAGCATAGTGTTAGAGCATTGAGCATGGAAGTTCCTTTTTTTATGTTGTTGTTATATACTTTATTTATAGTGGAAATCAAAATTGTTTCGAGTCCTGATGGTTACAGCTAATATTTCTTTCAGACTTTTCACGATTGCAACTTGAACTTTACTTCAAACTGATGCGTACCCATTGTTCTAATTTAGATTTCGAATTTCGTTTGTAAATGATCTAATTTTCACTTCATATCTTACCTACTCCCATCGCAAAGAAAAGCGTCTTTCCCTTGTGTAGACGCAGCAGTCTGCTGACCGTGTTAGCCATATCTCTGTTCCGGCCAATCACCAGCGACGACTCCACCAGGTAATCAAACTCCTTGAGCAGTGCCGACTCCATCGCCTGTCTCTTCTTCTTCTTTCCCATCAACTGGACAGAGCACCACAACAGTGATAACATCATCAATTATTTAGTATGCCAGCGACTGTTCTAAACTATTCTCTGCCTTGCTCTTGCTCATCAAATGTATTTTGCACGGAAATCATTTCATTAACTTACCTTTCGCAGAAATTTCTTGTTGTCGAATTGGCCACAGTTGTAGGCCAGGATGAGTGCATCAGTGTCCGACATCACACCAGGCGCCCTTGTTGGTGCATTGGCAGTACTGTGTTCTCTGAGCCGAATTTCAAGCGTTTTATTGAGGGCTTGGATCACCTGAAACCAACAGGAAAAGGAAGAAGGGTAAAATAAGTACTTGTAATCAAAATATACCTATTAAGCCACTACATCCCACCAAACCACTCTATCCAGGCGGTATAGTTTTCACATGTTCACCTCTTTTTTTCATCCGTTCTATCAGTGCTACCACTAGGGACACAGTTACATGTACTCGGATGGCTTTTGATATTGGTATACCAGTAGTTGGTAAGTAGGATTGAGCTCAGTTAGAGTGGGTGTCAAGACAATAATGGAACCCCTGCTTCTAGTCTAGAGGCAGAGCCTGAACCTTGTTCATGCCAGGGTCATGCACTAACCTGCAATTCCTACCTGGTTGCCCTCTTGAACCAGGTAACTCCTATTATCAACCACACCATGGTCATTAACCAAGAATAATTCACATGCATGTACTCTTAGGACCACACTACTATGTTATCAATAATACAAACCTGGTTTTCGTAATCTCAACTTATGGAGTTTCTACACTGTTCTCCAAAAGCAAAACATTTATTCACGTTTTTAGTCTTTTTAGTACTTGTAATGATTCTGTTAGGCGATGAACAGGCGATACAGACACAAGAAAGGTCTACGGCCTTACCACGCTTTGATTGAGCCTGTTGAGTGGGTTGCACTGCTCCGAGGCAGTTTCCAACGCACCAGTTACCTGCCCGCGGGTACGAGCCACATTCAGCAAGTTCTCATCTAGCACTGTGCTGCCACTGCCCTCAACTTTCTCACGGGTCAAGTCGTTCACCAACAGTAGGGCCCAGATTGGCCGCTTTCTCCTCCAGTCTCCGACGTACGTCTTGAACAACTGTTTCTTCTGCATTTTCCAGTTGATTAGGAACGATGACAGGTGGTCCGAGTTCTGCACCCATTCAGGTAGGGCATTACGGACGTGCCTCATGAACAGCTTCAGGCGTTCGAACACATCAGGAGGCAATACGCCATCGATCGTTTGCCCCTCGGGCAGCTGCCGACATCGGCGCACTTCCTCCTGCGTTTGGCTGTCGCTCCAGTCCAGCTCGGCAAATACGGCGTCGCTGTCTCGCCATGCAGTCTTCACGTTGCCTGGGACATGGGGCCAGACGGCATCGTTAGACACGTGAACCGTGCCGAAGACGTATGCCGGGGGAAAGTCTCTGACTCGCCATAGATATGACTGGGCAGGACCCTGTGGGAGCAAGTAACAAGACAAACACGCATAATAAAGATCAGTTCAGCATGAGTCTCAGTTGCCAATATCATGAGCTGATCAGGAGGAGACAAGGAGATACACGTAAAATACAGATCTTTATTCATGCGGATTGTCACGTCTAAACTCTTACTCAACTCGACGCGCAACGCAATGGATTCTATGAATGCTAGCAAGCTTTTTTCATTGAATAGCATGATAAAGATGACTAGATCCTGGTCATTTCATAAAATGATGCAGGTACAGTCAAATCTGTCGTAAGCGACCGCCCCTTGGTGCAAGAAAAAGCGGTCTCTTACGGCAGATGGTCTCTTACGGCAGATGTATGGTAAATCCGGCATACCGGGCATGCATATAATTATGCTTCCATGTACTCAAATCGACGAGAATAATGTGATTTTTCATATCATTTTATTGGATATTGGGGCGCACTTGCAAGACAGCGCATTTTCACACCTTGCATGCAGTTGACAGCACACTGGCAAGTACAGTTTCGCACCTGACTGAACGACTTATGTGGGCTGCGGTCGCTTACAGCAGATTTGAATGCAGCCACCGTGCATGAAATCGCGGTCGCTGGTCGCGCACAGCAGATGGTCGCTCTGGACAGATCAATTTGTATGTGAAACCGTCGGTGCACGGAAAATCGGTCGCTAACTGTAGATGGTCGCCTACAGCAGAGGTCGCTAACGGCAGATTTGACTGTACTGCTTCGCACACTAGTACTTTACATTCATTATCCCACTAATTACCCCAGTGATACGTGTCCCATGAGAAAACTGGATGAACACTTGATAGACCATCACCCCGGAGCAAAATCCATCATGGGGATCGTGTGGAGTTCTGGATTTACATAGCAATTATGTCGGCCCCTTGTAGGCATCGCTTTTATGCGACCAACGCCCATTGCTCGTCCGAAAAAAAACTTACACTCTGATTGGGGTTGAGTATTCCTGATGTTGATTATGCAATGTAGTTCGAATAAAACACTCTGAGCTGGAGTCAGACGCGCTACCGTCTCGCCACGGAGCCAGCTATTTGCCTTGAGTAAACACTAATGTCTTTCAGGATGCACGTAAATGTATATGTACGTTGTTCTTAGGGTTCTCGCCTACACTGTCTGCAAGGGCTGGGGTAGCTAATTATTAGCCTGCAATGCTCCTGTACGGTAGAAAGGCGTTGGCGCACTGGGATTCTAGCATCGGACTACGAACCCACCGTGAAGTGGGTGCTACGCGAGCTGCTTACGCGGACTATCATTTGTAATTTCATGTTTGTTCAACATTCCCTAATCTCCATGGCAACATTATGCAATTGGATACCTTCCGTCGACAGAAGCAACCACAGATGCTAATAAGGAGGGACATTTTGGAATTAATACTAGTATGCCGACTCTCCCTCTCATCCCCATCACCAGCAGCATACCGCAGCTTGAGCACAGTACATTGCATCGTATTAACGTCCATTCCTATCTCATCCTCTCTGGCTTCCCTGTTTCCGCTGCTGGGTCTGTCGCTCACTGTATAGTGCTTTGGCGTGGTTGTAATGCCAATACGTAGACCTAGATTACGTAGACCTAGATAGTAGATTGGTCGAACTTCGCTGGCCCTAGCCCCTGCATACTGCGATATTTGACTACAGTGTGTAGTTTCATTCCTCACAGAATGGAAATCATCAGGCAATGCTTCAACAATGCTTTATTGTTTGAAAACTCTATAAACGATTTCTTGTACTGCCCCTAGTGGGACAAAAGCAGGATACTTATGCCTACTTAGCAAACACTTCACTCAATACTCCACCCTAGGACTACATCAATACTGCATAGCAGTTCAATACATGCATAGAGTGCCTCTGGCTTTGCCCAAGTGCCATGATCCTATTAACAAGCACTGCACAACCCCATGCCCGCTGCCGCATTGCCATGTGGAAGGTTTCGGCTTTTCAAGCGGACAGCACAGACTCTTCCTAGTGTTCGGTACTGGCACTGGGGATCGGATTTAAACTCTCATTTTCTGTCTCTCTTTGCGTTCTTCGGAAGGGCGTAGTCGCAGCAGCTAAACCCATAATATTATTCAATTATAGCTTTGGATCATGGCTTGAACTCCTCCGCAAGATCCCAAGTGCTCAGTCAGCACCTAAATGTACATGTTAATAGTTATTGCATTAATTTTCATTATCACAGGACACATTCCCCCTTCCCTAGCTCTATGGGCTAATAGAGGCAGTCAAGAGTTTGAGTTATCAGACACCCTTTCGGAAGGCCTCGCCTTTCTTTCCCAGACGACTTCATTGATCAGTGGCGTGAGCACCTCTGGCTCTGGACCTGACACAAACACAGCCATTACTACCAGTACATAAGACCAATGTACCGTCGTCAGTGCATCATTCTTTCGTACACTTTACAACAGAGCTGTGCCATAGCCATAGGCATACACACTATGCCATTTACAGAACCCAGCTGCATTGTATACGAAAATTCTGAGTTGGCAGCCTGGATCATTGGTGTTTAGTACAGTAAAGGGGCTTCATTCCATTTTCTATTAGACCGTGATAGTAACGTCGATCCAGAGGAACCTGTTTTAACCCCTGCATGTACATGCATGTAGAGCTAACCAGAGTCCAAAGCAAACATTCTGAACTGTTACTGAAGCGCACGATTGTTTGATTACGACCAAGGGCACTTCGCCGTGACAGATGAACCTCAGCAAAGAAAACAGTATGAACCGGGTTTGCAATTATGTCATGTCCGCTACATATTCCAGTGTCAGGTACACCGTCCTCGGTTGCAATACAAGTGATCTAGTACAAGGCCAAAGACGTCGGTAGAGATTTATTTGCGCCCTGTAATGCTGTTTACGAATGTTCGCGGTGCTCAGATCATACAGTGCACATGTACAAAATTGTATCATTTGTATGTAATGAAGTGATATGGTTGAACCTCCATGTACATGTGATTGTGGCACGTTTAGATTTGCGATAATGCGCTATTCCATCAAAACATTCAATTAATGGTGTTTGAAGCCATCAGCGACTTGGAATCCACATGCACACTAGAGGGTGAGGAGGACAACATAATATTATTATTATGTTCGTTTTGTTGACGATCAGGCATTTTCTAAGAAACAAATTCCAAGCCCTCTACACAGGCGCTAGCAACCGCAGCGCCCGCAGCCTGTGTATGCAAAGAAGACAATGGAATCGTAATGACCGGTTAGCCCAGGACTGCACCAACTCCAGGGCTTCAACATGGATGAGCTTAGAGCCATCATTTCCCGTGCAGTTGGGTGAGCCTGAAAAACCATGTAAGTTGGGAGGGTTGAACAGCTTGTGTATTCGTTGGCAGTGGGGCTATCGGCGGGATCACCGATGAGCCATGTAGTCTATAAAAGGAGAATTGTTTAGTGATAGTAAGCTGCATACATGGTCTTTTTGAACCGTGAACGACATTACATTGGTCTCACAAGGTCGCAAATTTACAAGCTTGCTAGAGAGCGCCGGCACATGACCTGAGGTGGAAATGAAGCGCCCACAGGCCACCACTATCGCTCGCATCTCGCGCCGACATGCTGCCTTCTGTCCCGCGCAAGAGCAGGCTAACTAAGGAGTGAGGTGTCTGCGATGCTTGATCAGATTGCAGGGTTGCTGCACATGCACGGAGGATGCAAGCATAGCGTTGTTCGCCCTCTGGGAGTTCATGCTGAGATGGCTGTTAAGGCCTTTGGGGAAATGTGTCGAACCCTAACACTATCAGAGCCTCGACTGATCGCCTATCCTAAATGCTTACTAGTGCTAGCATTAGTAAGAGCAATAGTAAGAGGCCGTTGTCGGTATCATACCAAGGGTCACAGCGGGTCGCCTTGATTGCGAGTTCTCATGTTTACACGTCCAGCGAGGTGCGTGTACCAACTAGGTGCCAAAGGCTGCGACGTCCTGTTAACCTAACAGCGATATGGTGTCGTTCCCAAACGAGCAACGAACATGTTACAACGCTACTTTTTCTACACGCACAAATCGCAACACGGTTTCCATGTAGGGTAACGTTGGAATCAGGTTAGTAGCTTGTGGGGTGACAGCACGATTTGTTCACAGCTAACGCAGGGCCACCATCAAAGACGTACGCGACCCAATGGACTTTGCAGCTCCGAGCACCTACATGTACATGTACAATGTACATGAACTTGCAAGTACTAAGAAACAAGGACGGGAGGTCTAAAAATGCGCAGACATTCCCCTATTACACTCGAAGCACGCGTAATTAGCGTCAGTGCTGCAGTGCTGGGTCTGTTACACGAGTTATAATAATAACTTAGGAACGGTAAAGTACAAGTACAGTGCACCGCACAGGTATGCTTCACGTAATCAGAAAACTAGTATTGTGCACTTCTGCTTCCATTGTGCCTGTTACAATACTGATCTACATGATTGTGAATGCTGACAGTAATTGCACAGGCTGCGGAACTAGCACTGTGCAGTGTGCACTGAAGACATAACCCTGAGTATTTCCATTCCTACAGGACATGATTGTGAAGATCAAGTGTTGGTTCCCCGAGGCCAATTGACCGTGATGACAATTATCTCCTACACCTTTGAGGTCGGCAGAGCAGCCTGGCCCCGCCACCACTTCTCGCACATATTCGGGAATATAGTGGACTTTCGTATAAAAAATAAAAATAAAAATAAAACACACACACACACACACACACACACACACACACGCACACACACATACACACACATGCAACCTCGACGAGGTACAATACTCAGGATTTCCCTTTTCCCCCTAGTGCCCGAAGTGAGGTGCTCGCAGTCGCGCTTGTACTGAAGCAGACAGTTGAATTACGCGAGGAAATTCCGATTTTTTCACTGGACAAGGTACGGGCACAAGTGGTCAAAACAGTGTGTAATCATTTGCAAGCAGTGCGCAGCATTCAGGCAAACTTGCGCGCCCATTGATAGGCAAAATGCTAACATCTTCAGCCTGGGATCAGAGCTTGAAGTGATGTGGAGGGGAGGGGGGGGGGCACGTTTCTGCTTGGGCCCCAAAGTTAGGCATGACATCAGAAGGACTTCAAAAAGAGGAAACCTGGAGAGGGCATGGCGCACTTTCATATTCTATGGGTATTTTCTGTTTCGGGTTCGGGTTCCACAAGTAAGGGCCACTGATGCCTTAGATATCACTTTGGTTGAATGGTCTGCTCTCAAACTGGTCATCCACATCTGGGACGGGTTCCTGGAGTTTGTCAGAGTGTGATGGCACAAGTACAGTAGGCGCTATGGCCTTCGATACACTATGTCTTTGATAATATTATGATCTATAAAAATAAGTATTAGCTGTTGTGAGGAACCGATCGCTACTAATAATTGGAATGAATATTGTCTACTTCAACAGGTGCAGAGTTGATCAGAGCATACTTCCCCTTCTTCGTGTGGTAATGAAGTACTTGCAACCCATTTCCTCATCTCCAGGTGCATCCTGACCCGCCATAAACAGGTTCCTTGTTCAAAACTCACCTCCATCCAGAAGATGTTTTAGAATTATAATCGTAATCTAGTTTATCAGACCACTGGGGTACGGCAGGTTCAAACTAGCCCCGGGCTTAGCTGCTTCCTGAACCAGCTGCGCGAGACAGGGACGCTCTGTACGTGTTTGGGAAAATTTCATTTCATGGTACTTCCATGCAATATGATTACGGTATAAAGTGCTTTCAGCATGTGGTCTGCACCGGTCAGAATGAATCAGGCTCAGAGTAGAGTCACACATCGGGAACCTCGTAACGTTATCACCCGTATTCCTTCTCATTGCATACACTCGCAGGCGTTCCAGAGCCTACACCCCTGCTGTTTTATGGAGGACATCAGATAAGAACCTGGACTTGAGGACCCCGTCCCATTTCTTCTCATCATCGCATGGTCAATGCTCATTTACAGGCAAGTAATCCAATCGGTCGCTTTCGAGAGCGCATCTTGACTGGGTGGCCCGTTGTGGTAGACACAACTTACTTCTGAAATTATTCGTTGACCGCAGCAGCGATGACGATGCACCGAGTTCTTGACGAGATCTCAGCGTGTTTTCACTGAGTGTCGACAAGGTTTTCTGTCACGCAGGAACGTGACGTATGGTGTTACTGTACACGCCAAGCATTACTATTACGAGTATTAGGATGTCTTGCGTGCGAAGCTGTAGGCCGGAAACAGTGAGTTTTGCTTGTGCAAAACCTACATTGTACACTTGCAGCTGGCTGAGAAGCCAGTCAAGACACTGTGCCGTCTACGTAAGTCACAACAACCGATACAGACGAACAAGAGTGACGGTGGGTATGAAACAACAATACTTCATGGAATGCTTGCGACTCGAGTCGTACACGGGTTTGTGGGCTACTTACGCGTGGCCGTTTTGTCCAGGTAACGGGCGTATCGTGTGATCGGAATGCGCTCCTTACTCGTTGCAGAGTTCATGTTGGAGCTGACAGGGCGTCCACACTTAGCACCTTATTATAATTATTTGCGTGACAGTTTGTTGCCGTCGCAACCGTAGCATGGCATGGAATGGCTGGCTGCTGGCCTGAACCCCAAAAGCGCTTGAATCAAAGCGCATTGAGAAGATACGATTGTACATGTTGCACTACTGCCAGAACTGGTGCATCTTTTCAAAATATCAGTGCTAACCCCACGCATACACAGTCATGTAGATCTACAAAATGCAAACCTACATGTACAATCATGTAGAGGGGGAAGTTCCATCGTTTCACCGTTCAAGGAGTCTGTGTGCTCACATGCATGCCTGGCTACATGCACACAAAGTCCCAGCACCAATTCGGCCCCATAGTGCCATTAGTGGCCCTATGAGTATTACTAAAGTATGGGAGCATTTTGGTACATTACACGGATGTTTGTATCCTGGCACAACAAACCTCAACCAGTATCCCCTGGGCCCTGGGCCTTCTTTACACGCCCTGTACGCCTAATCATCAAAGTTAAGAATCCACAACACATAAAAAGTACTCAGGATCAGAACTCCTACCTTTGGGCACTGTGCGTCTTGGTTTGCCATCGTACCGACCGACACCATGAGCAGTAAGCCAGCCACTATCACACACGAATCCATTATGTTCACCACAGCGGTCGCCATCTCCTCCGCACGGTATCCCTACTTCCTCACGTGAATCTATTATACAGAGAGTAGTGAAGTGTGAGCACACAGCAGGTATCAGTGAAGCTGACATGACTAAGAGAGGGCGCACATGGAGATCGATTAATCAGCTCAAGGGGCTTGCTGGAACGAGGACGAATGTTTGTCCAGAGGGCAAGCTCTAATGTGGCACAAGTCTAGGTTCTTTGCAAACCCTAATAAGCTTACTTGTTGTAAACAGCCGTCACACATCATGCCAACCACACACGTCATCATGAGCCATGAGGGGGATAAGGTAGAGACAGAATAGACGGGCACATGTATAGGGATTCTTCAGGCTTTTTACATGTACATGATTGTACAACAGGTGTACGTTGTAGGTGTGAATCTAAAGAGTGGGTCAGGCATTATTAGTTGAAGCTAGAAAACACCCACACATGTACACAACGCAGCTACTGTACGTCGAAGTTGTTTACTTGCTTAGCTATTTCCTACCCATACCACAGAAGATAAGGCTCTCGCAATCTCCTGAGAGCAAAGCTACTTTCCATGGACAACTGAAAAGGTAATGCCTGTTATTGTTCAATTGGCTGGTGAAAACCATATACGCCAACATAAACTTACCAGTAAAGCCTAGCTTAGTTGCTAACAGAAAAGGAACTAGAAGACACCATCCACCACCAGGAACAGGAGCAGATGAACAAACGGCTGAAACCTCTCCTAGATCTTCTAGTTGTATAATTGTCTAAGCCAATACCTTCACCGCCACTGCTGCTACTTCGCAGGAATTTTGAAGCTCTGCGCGTACACCTGACGGGACGTATGAGGCGTTAATGGTATCGATACGTGGTTTTATACCTCGCTGGACTGCGTGTACGTTGCGTACGGATGCCTCATCTGACGTCCAAACTAATCTTCACACTCGCACTTCGCAGGTCAGGAACGACACGCTCACAAGTCCTTGGAACCAAGTGCTACGCAAACCGACACTGTTGATACACCCCTAACGTTAGCGCCTAGGTTCTTTTCTATCCGCCACTCGTCTTGTTTCTCCTGTCAGCGGGTTGGACTCACTCTCGAAATGCCGCACACGACGGGAACCTAACTGTGTAGAGGTGGTCACCGGAGCTGCTTCAGCGCTTGACCGTGAAGCAGCGTCATTACCGAGCTGATGGCAGCGACTTCTGCGGCGGATATTTTTTATAAGCTGGATCAAAAATCCGCGCTGACACTACTTCAGTACTTGGCCAAGAGACGTCCCGCAGAGGGCACGTGAGCCAGATTCTGTGTTCGCGTGATCCCCTGGTAGCGAAAGTGGCAGGACTGTGTCAGCGGTACAATGTATGTGAGCGTTCAGAAAGCCCTATCAAGAGCAACAGCTGCATGGTAGCCATGGTGGAGGTCAAACCTTCAAAATAACTCCTCGCCGTATCGAACGTCCTAGGCGCAAGCACATAACTCCTCTTGGCGCTGATGACCATCGGCAAGTCGCCGTGAGCCCCAGTTGGCCTAGCGCGCTCGCAAGCCATCTACATCACCGACATTTGCCGGTTGCAGTTCGTTCTCTTAGTCGAGTCGAATCGAGTGGAGTGGCTTCTATTTACATGTACACGTAGGCAGTGTAGGCACTGAGTGTATGCAGAAAGAGTCATGGCAAACCATACTCTCAGCATTGGTTCGGTTGTATTTTATCGGTTGTATCTTGAATATATTTGTTGTGCTAGAGCTAAAGAGCGGGTGGTCGACACACGGCCCAGGAACGCCATCAACTATCCAAACGTGTGGTGGGCAATCTACTATCCAGCACATTGGGAGCGCTTAGACCGTGAAGGAAGGCCAGATGACTCCAGGACCACTGGCGCTCATCAACTCAACTCTGCAATGTGCGAGGCTCAACTGCATGTGTTATATGCATGCCTGGCTCCGCATAACCGGCACCATCCATTACAACTTCCTTCAAACTTTGGGATCATGGATGCTGTCAAACTTCAGCCACCTTCAGTTGCTGGAAAAGTGTATGAAACCGACATGTAGCTTAGACAACAAAAAGCGCTCTCTTCCTACCTGGTGCTTCAATGGTGGGACAAACATCCCCTGATCACACGCACACCACACACACACACACACACACACCTCAGACCTCAGACACACACACACGCACACACGCACACACTCTCCTGCGCTTCAGTCAATATGTGATTAGTTTTTTTACACTCTCAGCTTTGCCTTTTCTCCGCTGATTCTGCCAATTACTGTCAGCATTGACAATGCGCTAACGATTTACAAATCACCTGTGATGGTGAACCTGCACGTTTTGGTGGTAAGCTATAGTCTTGCATTCTACTTGCAAAGCTCAGTAACCTTTTGAGCATATTGCGGGTAACATCAGTTGCGAGACATGCATGAACATTAACGCTGAGCTTATTCCTGTGACGTTGAGGGCAAGTTGACAGTGTTAAAGGTTTTCTTCAATTTCCTTGGTGTTTCTCAGGCTACGACAGGTTTGACTTTAGATTAGCAGGCCCTGTTATTGCATCGATACAGCGATAGTTCAAGCACAAACCAAGCGCCTCATTATGACGTATGAAAGCTCCGGAGCTGAGGTGTTATGTTCCTTACCTAGCGAAGACACCCAAAATGCCTTTAGTTTTGTCTAGTGCCAGGTCCAGAAAGGAATGCAATGCTCAGAAATCATTGTTTGGAGGCGCAGCTTGGACAGGACAGCACAAGATTGTTTGACTGCCCATATCCATGCGGTACATGCACGTACCGTACATACAATGATACATGTACATGTAACTAAGGTCAGAAGGGTCAGGGCGAACTCTCTTGGGCAGAGTCGCTGCAGAATGCAAATGACATTATTTTAGGCTGTTAAAAGCTGCAAAGGGGCAATGTACTTTAGCAAGGAGAAACCGTACAAGTAATCAAAATTAGGTGATACATGTATATGGATTGGTACCCGTTCTTGGGGATGTTCATGTGCATAAGGCACTGTGCTTATATTAATTCCCAAATATCTACTAGCAGGAGTGCTGTATCGCTGTTCCCGTCTCTCTGGCATCTGGCCTTGTGGCTGTAGAAAGCAAGGTAACATGTTTTTCTGGGCCTGTATCACTTCAATATGCAGGGGTTTGACAGCGAATAAAGAATGTCTGCTGCAGGACGTGCCTCGTCTGGCTGGTCAGGGTTGCGAGGCTGGCAGCGCTAGAGCATCGGTGTCTTCCGTGCGGCAGTGTGTACGATGTACCTCCAAACGCTTGGCTAGCAATAGGGTCAAGACAAGAGACCGACAAACACTGCATGAGTACACATTTGACACTGAAGCTTGCTCCATCTCGGAGCCACAGCCAGTGCCAGCATTACTCGTCTAACTACACCAATGCTTTAACACAAGCTTTCCTACAGCCACAGCAATTTCCAGGTGGTGAACTTTGCTTGCGGGGGTAGCCACTTCACATCTTCCTCCGCGATCTCGCGTATCTCATCACAGTTGTTGACGGTGGTAGCGGGTCCAGCAGCCCTGCAATGACCTGAAAGCAAAGCTTTTTCTAAACGGTGTCAGGAGATTTTGGCCAACTAGATACATGCTCTGTGCGCGTAAACCGGTAGTGTCAGGGGTACAATGTGATGTGGCATCCGTATGTGGCGATTGACATCTCTTCACAGCCTCCGACCTCGAGGTTGCTAGTCGATTATAAAATTGCTGAAGGCGCAATTATCGAATGTAACCTTAGCGGCTGTATGGTCCTATCTGACCGCAGAAAACTGCTATCGGAAACGAAGTGCAGCCACAACACTTGTCTACGGAATATTGCGGATCAAAATTGTATTATGACATCCAACTTTTTTGTTTACTTTCCCTGGATCTCCTTCATGTCTGTTCGTCTACACCGGCAATCTCCTTCCAATCCCAGTTTCAAAGTGAACCGTTCCAGAGACTTTGTGTACTAACTGATAAAGGGTACTTGGTCGAGGTAGGGACCCCAACAGTGTGGGCAGCGTATTTACTGGTGTACGAAAGGACCTTTTTCGGAACGAAGTGAAGTGGGGAGAGGAAGGGGAAGTTGTGGGTGAGTGACAGGTTGATAGAGAATGAGGCACTGGTGAATCGTGATCTGGTAGGAAGGCTTTGCTGAAATGTATAACTGACTCGCACGACAAATGCTTCCAAGAAGTAAAAGCAGCGATTTCATCAGGGACCAATATTTTGTGGTGCATAAAGATTTAGAAGTAATGTTGTTGTATATTTTTATTGCCACTCCAAACAGGAAAATAAGCTGTCTTACATGAGGTTTATTGAAAAGAAAAAGGACAGAGGAACTACAAGATACGCTATAATGTCCACTAACACCACCAGTTACTAAACAATCAGCTCATGCCATAACATTGAACGACACCGACCGACGGTACTGACGTTCTACAACTAACTGGCTAACAGCTCTAGCACATCTTGGATGCGCACTTCAACAGCCTTCCAACTTGGAAGGTTCTAAGTTATAATCATGATAACATAAGAGGGTAACTTGTAGTTCCTTGGTCCTCCTTCCTTTCTATAAATTTATCCTTGGCTCTCCATCCGAGTCCATGCTTACATCAAGTCGACTTATTTTTCCATAGACGAGAAATTCTTGATCTCCAACCTCTCAACCCTGTCAGCAAACATGTCTGCGTCTTCAGGCAGCATCTCTCACCACTATGGGAGCAACACAGCCCTGCCAGTTACCAGAAAAGTACACCATTAATTTTCTTCATGAAAGCTAACTTGTAGGATACATGTACAAGCTATCGCAGTGTTTGATGCAGTCTTAGGCTTTGCCCGGATTGTGTACATGATAGGAATATGAAGATCTAGCAAAAGAGATGTTACGTTACATCATGTAGCTTGCATATACAGCAGACAAGGGATCCCTGGCTGGGTTACAATGCGACAACAACGAACTAGATTGTGGCATTAAAAGCGGCACAATAATTGCTTGTACTAGTTGTAGCAGCCTCAGCGGCCGTCCTGGCTTTGATGACGGGTAGAACACAAGCTAGTGTTCTGTATATGAGGTTTGTTTCATACGCGCCGCCATAACTTGCTCTGCGTGTATACAGAGAGGATTTGGACACCTAACATCGGGTCTGGATCGTTGTATCACAAGTCAGCACCGTTAACGGTTATTCAAAGACAGTATCACACCTTGCTTGTCGCCATGTGGACCCCTTCTATCATCCATCCAGCTAATCCAGAAATGCTAGAACAGCACGAGCACGTGTGCTCTCACGCCTCCTGTCACAGGAATTCTTCACTTTTTATAACTCACAGCTATCGCACAAAGTGACACTATTCACCGGATTGTCTGGTTAGTTGTACGAAGCAATGGTAGCGAAAGTCTCAACTCGGATGGGTTGAATAGCAAACCGTCAACCAATCACACCGGATGTGTTGACGTACATGTACATGTAGAAGCAAATAATACCTAGCACCAATCCCGAGGATTGTCGCATCTATACAAACCGGTTAAATGGAAAACCTTGCACACACCATCTTCAATCCAAGTGGTCTCTTCGCTGCAAAAATAATTCTCAATCCACATAAACCCACATACACAAACCCAACAAGAACTGCGCCCGACCTTGCCGTGCAATCTCGTGAAATGTATTTGCAATGGTCAATATCCGGCTGCTGTTAATTTCTCAATGACTTTGTGTTACTTTAGTCGTTCTGATATGGATATAATTGGTTCTCTCCTTCCAATCCTGCATATTTTGGGTTCGATAAAAACTACTCATGATCTTTAAATTTTTGAACTGTGAGCTATGACTGTCAGCGTCTCCTCTTTTGTGTGAAAACCAATTTTGCCCGTATCCTGCTAGAAGTTTAAAAGAGCTCCTGTTTCAAGGAACTTGATGTAATGAAGGGGAAATGTTGACCTCCAACATCGTCTTTGCTTTGGAAACCGCATGCAGGCTCTGATCTCGAAAGGGGACTCCTTGGGTCGGAGAGCGTGCTCATGCAGACTGGGAACTGGTGGCATTAAGGGAGAATGCTTGGTGTGCTTAGTATTACAGCAGGGTAGGGTATGTTTGGCGCAGTTCGCTTC